AATTATAGATAGATGACTTAAAGCAAAAGGTAAAGTATAAATTATTCTCAAAGAATGTCAGATAAAAAAAAAGTTCTACATGTAATAAATAAATGATAAAAATATTTAAGTTCATCAAACAATATCTAAAACTTTTTGTATACAATATATTATATTTATTATATCATTTAAAATAATATAATAATTGAATGAATATGATGGTCATGTTACGTCAATATTTACGTAATATATACAATGGTATGTTACTATATAATAAGTACACACAAAAGATATATAAAAAGAGGGGCAAGTGGGTAAGGTTCTGCTGTACACTAGGTGTCTAGAAAATTCACTGTAATGGATGTGTTAAATTTGTATTCAACAGAAAAATCATTGTAATACTGCATGAAAAACGATTCGGAGATAATCCATCCACATTTGAACTTAAAACGTTTATAAAAAAAACTGTATTTATATATTTATTAAATTTTTGGTTACAGTATCCACGATTTATGTGAAAAATTGTTCTACCTTTTTATTTGTTAGCTTTAAAAAAATGTATATTTTATAAATTTTTAATTATAAAATTATTTGCAAATTTTCAATTTGATAAATTTGAATTTTAAATGATTATAAAAAAAATATGCCTATGTAATTTTATTACTTTTAAATTCATATTATAACATGAGTGAGAAACCTTGTGTTAAATTTTTAAGATTTTTGACTCAACGAATATAATTTTATTGACATTTATAGATAAATAAACTAAAGAAATTGAAAATTGAAAATGTATGTAAACAGCTAAAAACTAGTCAATATTTTATCAAATATAAAGAATAATAAAATAAACATTTGGAGTAAATTTCAAGTATCTCCGGTTATTCATTTTTGAATTACAGCAAAATAAGAAAATCGTTCCATGAGAAATCGAGTGAATCGAGTGTCATAAAAATTTGAACTTCAAAAGCGCATAAAAATGTAATTTGACTTTCCACTAGATATTTATTTTTGTTAAAGGTAGCCAGACTTATGAGCAATCTTGAACTACATTTTCAAATCTTAGATATAAAAATGTTATAAATTTCTTACTCAAAATTATTTGCAAATTGACTTGTGATTTTAATGAATTTTGTTAAAATATTAACTTCACACTCTCATAAAATATTATTGTGGATTTACGCTCAACTTTTTAATTACCACTAATAACAACTTATGATGAACATTGTATTAAATTTACAAGTTTTTTAACCAATAAAACATTTTCTTATCAACATTAGTTTTAAAAAAACTAATAACAATCTAAAATATAATTTGCCTATAAATAGCTCAAAATGAATCAAAATATTTTGAAAATATTAAGGTGTACAGAAAATTCTAAGAGAAAAAATCAGTGAGAATTTCGTATGTCAACAGTCATTTGTTTTAAAATTACATTTTTTTCAATTTTACTTGACTTTAGATATTAAGACCATTTTAAAATTATCGATTTGTCAGATCCTCACACTTAATTAGACACACTTGTTTTGTACCTAATACATATTATAATATGCCTTAAAATTTTTAAACCAAAACGAATTTCATTGATTGTGAGTTATAGTTTTGACTAACGTGATCTGTACCAAAAAAATATACAAATATAAAAATGTTTGATTCTAATTTCTAATCATACTATTAGCCAAAAATATCAATTTTTGACTTAAAACATTTATTCCATTCACCAAATAAGTGTATGATGGTATACCATTATGTTTAATTGGAGAGCAAAGTATTATTTACCAATTATTTACGATATTCAAGCAAAAATAGGAATTTCATGAATAACGTTAATAAGTAATATAATATGAAATCATAGACCTTTTAATCATATGGTCTGACCCATCCAATACCAAATACATAGATAGTATCAATGGTCAGTGTAAATAAGTACATTAAGTGTAAATATATAGTATAAAATATATAAATAATATATTATACAGTAACAGAGTAACTCAATAACGGAAAAAAAAAACACGTATTTTATTCTTAACACAATGGAAATGTGAAAAGGACCGATCTATTGGTTGAGGGTAGGAAATTAACAATATTGATAATAACATAATCTACATTTACCTGATATTATCGTTATTCTCTGTGAAGCCACTAGGCGAATGTAGGCGTAATGTATTTGTCATTTGTTATTATTATGTTTTTTAAGTTATCTATAGTAATTTCATGAAATCATAGGGAATTGACACCGCCATTTTAAAAATGTCAACCTTTATTTTATAATACTCTACTTATTATTTAATAGCCTTCAAACAGTTTAATATACGAGGGCGTAAAAAAATGTAGGTGCGGAGGTATACAAATATATGATAAATTTATAATTAGAGCTCGATCTTACGCGTCTGGTAAAGTGATACGAGTTCCCCAGGATATCAACGACGCCAGTGTAAGACGGATTGCTACAACAAACGTACTTCCATAGGACTAACGTTAATTGTAACAGTGAATGGCGTGGAAGATGTTCACGCCAAAATAAATGATATCGTATTTTTTTAAATAATTTTTTTTTTTTTATAATTTTTCTGATAAAATTATTTTTTATTTTATTTTAGTATTTCACATACAATCATAAAATTGCAATATAGTATTTTCAATATTGTTTTAGACATTGTATTTTACATTATCCAACATACGATAGTTAGGTACTAAAGTTCATTTCCACGAATTAACATAAATGTTAGAAACAAAGATTATCATAAATAATATTATTCACTTCAAACCATTATTAATTTCTAAAGTATTAACAAGTAAAACATGTTCATCAATATCGTCCATGATTGATTAGTATTATATTTAAAATAAAAGTTTTACAATATAATAGTTAATTAAAATACTACCTATAGTAGGTACTTACATTTCGAATATCGAAGAAGAAACTATATAAAAACTCCAGGTATTTTTATAAAATATCATCTACCTCGTTAAAGTATGTTAAAAGTTTATTTTTAGTATGCCTTAAACACAATCTTAATTCTACTTCCAAAATCATTAAATTGTAAGTATACACAAAAAAGTGCATTAGCATACTTGGATTTTAATTGCACCTAGATTATGAAACTTCATTGGGCCATTACTCCATTACACCATCACAAAGAATTGTGCAAATTTGAAATTTGTTATAAATCGTCTTACACTTTTCCCCATTTTCCCTTGTAAAATCATTACAAACTAACATGTTGTGGCGGAGCTGACAGAAATGAAATAAATACGGTCATACGCACATTATGCCCATCACCACTCTTTGTTCACAACTCTATTCGTTTTAGTATAACATGTCACTAACGAAACCAAAAATATCATATGTGGAGGTTTTATATAATATCGTGATATCTGTTGAACATTTTCACAAAACCTATCCATCAAATATTGTGAATATTGCTCAATAAAGGCCATTATAACCAAATAAATATTTCCACTTGCTATAAATACTTAAAATCTGAACAAAATGGTTGCGCCAACATCGTGAGAAGATCTTTGGGGTAAATGCAAACATGACAAACTTCGTAAACTGCACAAAAAGTGTATTAAGATGTATAAACAAAAAAGTTTATCTAAACGAAGCCACCGTATTAATATATTATATTAGAACAAGTTATATGTTCAATAAACAATATTTTTTTGATTGAAAATGAAAATGATCATCGTTAATTACTGACATATTGTACAATATTCAAAAAATATACCAACATAAAAAACATTTAACAATTGAAAGGTCACATAGTGTAAGTAATTTTTTTTTTAAATTAATATAATAATATATTTCAAAAAATCAAAACCCAATGAAAAATGAAAAAATATCAGGAACTTTTTTATATGTTTCGACTTTTGAGTTTTGAGTAACTATGATATGTGATGTGTACCCACATATTTTTGGTTTAAAACGGTTTAAATATATAAAAATTATGGTTACTATGCATTGTCGTTGATATAAATATATAATGATACAATTTAATTTAAATATGACCATAATTTTAAAATTATGATATTTTCTTTTATTAAGATCTAAATATAAAAAAGATAATTCATTAATCTTAAGCTGATATTCATTAGTTATGTAAGATATTTTTAGCAAATTATGTTTTTTTTTTTGATCCTCTATTGCATTGAACAATAGATATAAAATGATTTTAGTCAAAATTTAGCTATACCTTAAAAGTCTTCATACTTTTTAATTTTTGTGTTAAAATGTTCTATTAGTAGAATATTACATTGATCACCTATCATAAATTATTTTGATAAAAATTACAACCTAGTACGAAATAAACGTAAGTAGGTTGATTACATGTACTTTGAAAGACGAAAAAAATGTTTAAAAAATTAATAGAACAACAGGAATTGTATACAGCTGTATTAAACTAACTGGTCAAATAAAATTGTCATAAAAATAATAGGGGTAAAAACTTCTAAATCAAATTCAATTTTCTACATATTACTACTTCTATATATAAACTTCATTAAAGGAAATCAATTAATATGTTAACCTAATGAGTTAAAAATATTTTGAACAAAACTTACTTGAGGTTTTATATATTATTAATCAAAACAGAAATCTCAAATGCATTTGCGCTTATTTTAACAGCAATTAAACACATATTCAAAAAATATTAGATGTTTAAAAATAAAATAAGATTAATAAAATGATTTGATGTGGAATTAAATCAATGCAGAAAAAAAAATATTGATAGTATATTTAAAACGTTATATAATTCTATTGTTGAACGATATTATAATATATAATAAACCTTCAGTATCACTAGATTTCTTTGATTTTATATAAGTAATACTAATAATGATATTTTTGTTGGGTTTGCAGAAAAAATAGTTGTGTATCAGTACATAAATAATAGATGATGTGATTTTTGTAGACATTAATTTAATATTAATTTTTAATTAGTGTTATTTACAGACTATATTTTAAAAATATATTTTATACCTTATTATACTTCAAATGATTAATCTTAACTAATTATTCTTACCTAAATATGAAAGTCTATTTTTGTGATCTTTTCATATAACATACTACGGTATACTTAAGTACCTACTATTAATGTAACAATATTTAACACTACACAATTAAAACACTTTCAAAACGAATTATCATATAATTATGTTTAATTCATCACGAATTAATAAAACAAAAAAATAATACCAACGTATTATATTATATTATTTTTTTCGTTTTCAAAAACTATTTGTCGGATGAACGAGAAATACTTTGATTTACTGTCGGACCCCCGGAGAGACGTGACTGCATGCAACGACTGAAAAATTCGTGGCACCGACACCCAGAGCCAGTAGCACTACTAAAGAGAAAGGGGTTGGAGTAGAGGAAAAGGCGCAGTTCTGTTGGCGCATGCTATCTATAAAATCCACAGGTGCCTCAAAATCTGTTTATATTTGTTCAATCAATTTCTAGAACAAGCAAATAGTTTATTTTATTCTAATATTATCAGAACTATATATTTAAAATGACAGTACTAAAATTTGAATTTGTTACATCATAATTCTGTTTTTAATTCAAATAAAAACTTTAATATTCATTTAGATTATAGAATATAGATATTCAAATATTTCCCTTTTTTTAAATATTTCTATTTAGTTTACATTGCACTAGATATAAAGATATACTATGATTATTTATTATTATAATATAGTTCAGGTTTTTTTTTTTCGTAAAAGTATAACGGCTAATAAATATCATTGACGTGCCAAATTCATCAAATTAATATAGATCATACATTCATGCATTGGATTCATATTGGACGCATAATTGAATAAAAACAATAGTAATTTAAAAATAAAAATAAATACTAGAACCTAATGTGTACTGTACACCTTATCTTACATGATTTTAAAATTCAACAAAAAATTTTTTATCAAAATAAAAATGTATATTTTATCGAATTTAGATAATCATATAAATATTTATATATTTATCATTTGTTTATTTTTTAAATATATAATATGTAATATTTGTGATGGCGGATTGAATGCTTTTTGTGACGTCACATATCTGGTGCAGTTTTGTATATAAAAAATGCAAAATCATAAATCGGGTGTGAGTACGTAGAAAGACAGTTTAGGCTAGTCACCTAAAATGAAAACCGATTTACGTGCAATTTAATAATTTAAGTACCTAGGCAAATCTGTGCTCCGTGGACAATGTGCAAGCAGTTTATCAGGTAGGCATGCTCCGCAGGTAGAATTTCGGACATGACGATGAGCTACAGGAAGTACAACCTAAGTAGGCAATATATACCAACTACGACCTACTTTCCTTTACAGTTTTTGCGAGTTTTATAATTTTCAGAGCAACTTTTCTATTTTACCTGTTCATAAAATCCTCATTCGGAATACTAAGAAAATTTTAAAAAAGATTAGTCAAATCGGTCCAACTGTTCTCGATTGTTATCGACGAACAGCATTTCATGTTTATTGTATAAAATATTAAATGTTAATATCAAATAAATAATAAATAACATAATTTTATGAGATTTGTGTTCTAAAAATAGTATTCAATTGCTACCATAGCAATTATTCAATAGCTACAAAGCTGTTTATTAGAGTTCTTACTACCTACATTTAATTTTCAGTAATATTGAGTATATAGTAAATAACAATAATACCTATATCTTAAAAAATGAATAAAAAATGTTTTGAAATGCATATTTTTGAGATGTATGTTACATTAATAATGTTCACAATGTTCACAGTATGTCGTGCAAATTATTTGACCAAAAACATTTATTTACAAGTAAGTTTTAATATTCTATACGTTAAAAATAAGAACTTGTACATTAGACAAATTAATAATAATAATATTTTTATCCTTTTTAAATCAATGAAATTAACTACAGTTAGTTATATTACATTTTATGTTTTTATAATAATCTTAAAATTACACTTTAATAATAGTGTACCTAACCTAACCTAATTACACTTAAATAAACAAAAGTTTTTTTTTTTCTAAATAAGTGATTTTTTAGGGCTATGGAAATTATCCTGTGAACTGGTATGATGATGTTTTAATACTATGTAAGTAATTTCGTACTTCACCTATATATTAGGAGGTGTGTTACTATAAAAAATGTATTATTTAATATTACCATAGATGTAACCTTAATAAATGACGGTGATATTCCGGTTATGGCATCCGTCAAGATGATAAAATGTTGTGAAGAACTTTTTACGAGTTATGACATGGATTGTAATGTAATTAATAATTAATTTCTTTTAACATAAAACCAGTTAGGTAAAAGTAAAGCCATTATATATTCAATTAATTTGAAACAAATTGTATAAAGATGTACAGATACATTTCATTATATATGTAGTTACATATAGTCATATAGATACAATTTTTTTTACCTTGTTGTATTAGTATATTCCACTCTTAAACTATTTAACTCCTCTCAAGCGTATCATTTTAACGAGGTATAACCACAGGACATAAACTAAAAATTCATTTTGATAAATTTATAATGTTTGTATACGATGCGTAGTAAAATAAACATTAGGGATGACATTTGCTTATCTAACACATTAAGAAGATTTTATGAATGAATGAACTATTTAATGACAGCACTTTACTGTGAATTAGAAAAAAAGGGAAATGGTAATTTGCAATACCTATAGATTCATTTCAGTACGTATGTATGACCAAATCCTTGCCAAAATATAAAAATACATTATATGTAATTTACGCATGAAGTAAATATTAATTTTGGATATTTTGATAGAAAAGTGAATCTAGTTGGTGTATTCGGGAGGTTAAAACTCAAAATATAAAATTTCCTTATTTCCTTGATTAATAAAGTTGTAAAAAAAAAAAAATGAAGGAAAAATAGTAATTTTTACTAAATTTATTTTATATTTTTAGGCATAACTCAAAATCTAATAACTGTAGACACTTGAAATTATTTTATCTATTTAAAGCCTTGATAAATTGTTCAAATTTTTTAATATTTTTAAAATTATTGTCAATAAAACCTTTTTCAATTAGTAAAAAAGCTTGAAAAATTATACACGGGTCCTCATGAGTTGTTTTAATAGTAGTTCAAAAATATAAAGATTCACAAGCACAATTATTTTTTATATGCATATAAATTTCAAATTTATTTTTGTAGGTACAATATTGCAAGGATTTTATTGTAATGCCCTTTTATTTAGTTTTATGTGGCATAAATTACAACCTTAAAAATTGGGCAAAATTAATTTTTAAATGTAACATAGTAACATTTTTTTTTTGGCATAGATTACAAATACTAACTTAAAGTCTTAATCATTAAATCGTGATAAAAAGAAATCACAAAAATTAAATTAGGTATCAAAAAGGAAAATATTGTCTAAAAATGACATTCTTGTCTACTTTTTAAATCGCATCGCCTAAATACTACTTTCGTATACTTAACTAGATATAATATAATATCAATTATAATGTATGCCCCATAGCCTATTAATGATTTTACTACTTCTAACAATAGTACTTCTTTAATAACGTAATTACTTTCTAAAATTATAATTTTTTGAAAAATGTTATAAAAACATTACCAGCATTTGAAATTGTATGGATCACGGAAACAGTTGGAAGGATCTAGCAACACTAATTATACGCTCACATATCCTAATGCCGTAAGTAAACTATATCACTTTAAATTAATTAGGAAGTCTCGTTTATTAAAAAAACTGATGATTATGAAAAGTTTAAAACAGCCTTAAATTAAAATCTAAATCTTTCATACTGGCCTTTACTTATTTATATGAGAACAAAAGATTTGTATTATTTAATTTAAAAAAGCAACAACTTCTAAATAAAATCTGAACATTTAGCGGTAAACTCGACTTAACTTAGAACCAAAAAATTAAGATACCTACAAGAGTTTATTATATGAGGCGCTGATGCAGATTAATGTCTTTGGATTCTAAAACGATGATACATCATTGAGTTCGAAAAAGAATTTTGAGTGAAGATTGATTTACTCGACAGCAGTCAAAAGGTTGTTAAAACATATGTATTCTTATATTTGTTTGTAGTTTTTGCTGTTTTTCTATTTTTACTCCAAAGTTAATCTCTCCAAAGACCAAAATGTGTTCGATTGCAAATCTATAGATGTGATGTATAAAAAAATATAGTGTCCCTGTAAATAGGGTTTTTCAAAAAAAACCTACTATAAAAAATATTTAATATGTCTGTATAAAATGTTTATCCAGCATAATATTTATGATCAACAATTTTGAAAGAATATTGTCGAGTTGACAATTTTATAAATATAATTTTATATAATTTTTAATCGTACACAAAAACTATATTTTATGTTTTGAAAATATTATTTAAACAAATGCTTTCTATATGTATATTTTTGTTTGTTAATCTACCTAATAAAAGTAATGCCCAGTGCTTGCATACGAGCCTATACTAATATAATTTAACGAATCTATATTTAACGGTTTGTTAAATTAATAAATTAGTTTTATAGGAAATATTAATATTATTTATCAGTTATTATTAATAAATCGCCAAAAATATAGAGTATGTCTGAATATAAAATATAGTTTTATTATAATTAGTTTCTACCATTATTTAATCATTTATAAATATTATTACAATGTTATTTTCTTCAGTACCCGTACAATCGCAAAGGGAAATGTAATATAGACATCTCCATATACATAAATCAAACTAAGGTTTCGAGATATTTGCAAAATATTACATTTGATACAACTAAAAAACCAGAAGACATATTTTTGCTACAAGAAAGTAAATGTTCAGATTATACCACGTTTTAAAAACTAATAATGAAGTATATTTTAAAATATTTATAGTTAAGAAAATTTAGAGTCCATAGTTGCGAGTCCTAACCTAACCTATTCCTAACATTTATTTATTTATAATATACAAATTAAAAATTATGTAATCATCTCTATCCTAACCTAAAAACTGATCTATGTTGTTTAGTTTCAATGCTCCGAAAGGTGTTTACAAAAAAGACAAACATTTTTATTTAAAACATTTTAATTGTAAAACATCTCTCTACTCAAAATATAAAACTACATCGATTATGTTGAATTTCAATTTAGGTACCTACTAATGTTTGGTATATCATGCCTATGTCAAATGAAAACAACAAATACGTGGGTATAACGACTCATTAACATTTCATAACCATAGTAAATGTATATTCGATACAGAAAATACATTTCTATACTATTATACATAATAATAGATTCATTGTTAATAGGTACTACTTAGAATCTCAACATAAATATTAAATATAAATATCATTACGTATGCGATTTACGCCATGCATAAACTAAAACTGTAATTCCATTATTTATTTACAATCTTAAGGTAATTTTTATTTATTTAGAATTTTCTATCTGCTGTTCACTAATTAATCGACTAATAATGATGAACGTACTTACAGTTGCTGTACTCTATACATTATATCGTTTATAATATGTAACAATTTATATTTTCTTCAGTTTATATTTAGTTATAAGTAATAGTAATCACGAACAAAGATTAGGTAATGCAGATAATATTGTCTTAAAAATTAAAATTAATATATTATTTTATATACACCGTAGGGAAATAAATAAAAATAATTAATTAATCTATTGTATGTAAGTTGTTTTTAGTAATATATACATTTATAATGTATTTGAATTTAGGTATGTTTAATTTTGACACAAAATTTAAATTGTGTGAGTCGCCAGATGAAGACCCATTAGATTTCTGCGCACCAGTTAATTGTCACATGAAATATCAAGGTTCGAGGAGCTTATTTGACTCTGATAAAAGGCAATGCGTATCTATTCCAGTATGCAATAGAAGAACGAACAATAACAATTCATCAAATATAGTAATTTCAAAAAAATAATAATTATTTTTCTATAAAATAGATATACTCATAATTTATTAGCAAAATGATTTCCTGAGGTTTTCTTCTAAATCTTAATGTATTTATATTTTGGATAATTTATAAAAATAAACCTTTAACTACAATATTAAGAAATATTATAGGTGAAATATATTTTATATTCTTTCTTAGTAAAAGATAAAAATTAACAAATTTCTTTTACACATATAATACTTGGACAATGATTTTCAAACATTAATGATTATAACATTTTATATTAACTAATTGTATAATGTATATACCAACTTGTGATAGTTAATAATTATGATGAAACTTAAATTTCTAATATTTTTTATTTTTTCAAAATGTATCATTATTTTTACTATTCCTTAAAGTATTTAGGTATGCAATATGACAAGTGTTGCTGCATGTACCACGCAGCTGCTGAAAGTGCACAATAGATACCTCCAAACTCCAGTTAGGGCAATTAAGTCGTAGCGAGTATTCGATTTGATAGGTTTGATTTTAAATAGGATATATTTATTATTATTTCTTTATTAACTGCCATATTTATACCTGATCCCACTATATGTTTTTGATACCAACACCATACTGATTATTTAAAAATTATATTTTCACTGGGCCGAAAGTATACACATCCCCCCCCCCTCCGATTAATATCTCGTTTTGACACTTAATATAACACATGTACAACACTGCAGCTTGTTAGTAAATGTACTTCAATAAGTAAATACCTAATTAAAAATAATAAATTCGTGTAACGCAAAAAACTAAAATGTCGAAGCAGCATAAAAATCAATTAAAATACATACCTAATACCTATGTAACATATAAAGCATTATTTTACTATACAATTAAAATATTTGTAAAGTAAATGATTTTCACATTAGTTGTATTGATTTTATTTAAGGTATATGATCCTTATAGCAACGACTGCATAGCTTTGACGGATAAGATATCAATAACTGACATTGATAGTATACTTAAAGAAACAGAAGATAAAAATACATTTAAAAATAAAAAAACAAAATTCCTCTATCAATCAAATATTCGGTGTCACCATGGCAAGATGGACCAGATTAATCGGTCTTGTATTTGTGATGACGGTTGGACCAGTACTCTAAATTGGAATTTTCCCATCGTTTCTACAGTGCCAGTTTTTATGTGTACTGTTCCAATTCAAAGTACAAAAATTTGCAAACTTCTAATTATGATAAATAACCTTGGATTCAACAATCTCGTATCCTTTATAAAATCTTTAGAATTTATAAATTATAACCAAAATAGTAATTAGCATTATTATAGATAACAAATATCAAATTAAATATATTAATTGAAAATAATTTATAAGTACCTATATCAGCATTTATAAGTTTTGATTAATATTTGTACAGACCTTATAAATATATATTCTAGTAAAACTATCTGATTCGCGTAGTCACATCTTTAATCTGTGCTAAAGAAAATCTATAAAACTTGAAAAAGTGACGTATGACTGAATAATTTTTTTTTTAAGAAATTTAATTTGAAATTTTTGAAATATTCCTTAATTTATTTTTAATTAAGTATTGGGCATTAACATTATCATCAATATGGTATTTTGTTATTCAATTAATAATAAGCTACATAGCTATTACGCTAGAACCTACAGATTGTTAATTTAAATAATTTTCCACACATGACGTTATAATTTATAAAGCTGTTTATTCGTTAATGCAAATTTAACACTAGTATTATATAAATAATAAATAACCAAAACTATTAAACTAAATGTGCATGTTTTTTTTTTGTTACTATTTGTAAAAAAATAAAGAGGTTGAACAAAATGTGTTTTATATTAATGTTATAATGAATGTCACTGAGAAAAAATGTTTTGCGATTTAAATATTCGAAGATTTTTGCATTAAACTGTATATTTTCTTCATATAAACTTATTCTAATAAGCATATTTTACTTATTAATTATAAAAGTTTTGGGACAATCTGGCGATCGTGATTACTATAAGATTCTTTTTCCATGAAAGTCAGCTGTCGAGTACAATAATAATTTTACTAATTTCACAAGACTAGTGGACAGTGGTGTTTAGATTTTTATTGTGAATAACGCTTGAAACAAATACCAATAAAAATCTTAGGCATTAAGATACTTAATAGATGATAGCCTTTGATTTGTATCTTTTAGCAGAGATTTATAAGTAAAAGAATATTTTATTATTAAGAATACCAAATTACTCTTGACAAAAATAAATTTTAAATATTTTTTTATTAATTATTCAAAATATATTCTAATTAGTAAATAGATTTTGAAAAAATGTATTCAATTTAGATATTTTTTTCGTGTTCGATATTCAATACAACAGTAGGATATACATCACTAGGAAGTTTTAGTGTTCCACCCCCCACCCTTCATTGGTATTTTTTTCACTATACGTAATTACGTAAAAATATGAATCCCCCCCCTCCTGGGCCCCAGCACATTTTTTTAAATTAGAGTCCGAAAAATTATAATATCTAATTAACTTTAAATTATTCAGATTAAATTCAATTTAAAATTAAATGTCGTAACAATTAAAAATGACAAGCATTTGTCAAATAATTTTAAATTTTAAAATGTATGTTTATAATAGGTTATCCCATTGTAAAAACTAAAAATAGTCATAGTATTTAATGATATTTGTATCTGCTGCTTGCATGACTGCACGATTGAACGGACTGTGCCTTCTACTACAAATTACGATATGTTGATATTATAGGATGCAAAGAAGAAAGTTAACATGTTGTCTATAATATAATAACTCCTTAATAAAATCTTGAATTGTTGTATACCTAGGGGATTTTGTGTATAAAAAATAATTGTAGATATGTACATGCAATTTTCACCAATTAATATACTTACATTTTTTATACACATTACAAATTTAAAAATATTTTGACTCTTTTTGAGCTATTTATTGGCATAAGGAAATTTCAAACTGCATTAATATTTTTTTAATTATCGACGATAATAAACTTGAAATTTGAATAGAAAGTTAATAATACATTTTTGTTAGTAGAAATTAAAAAAAAAGTTGAGCTTAAATCCGAAATATATTACTTATAAGCAACTGAAGTTAGAATTTTGACAAAAAAAATTAAACTTATTTAAATGCTCTGTGGGTGGTGCTGTAAAAGTATGATAAATTGTTATTAGTTTTATCTTCACATGAGCAACTCAAAAAATATAAAAATATCTTATTGTAAGTCGTTTAGTAATGTTATATATTATAAGCTAAACACTAATATAAATATAAATTAAATTTCTAACTTCTATTTTATAATTTACCTAATATTTTAATAACAGTTTTCGAATAATAAGAGAAAAAAATTGTTGAGTCAGCAAATTGATAGATCTACACCCTCCTCCCCTTCCATGAATTCTTGTTCTGGACGTGTGTAAACCAATCCATTGAAAATGTAAGCCACTGCAATACAAACATCTAATTAATAAGAAAATATTTTACTTCAGTATTATAAAAAAAAAACAATTGACAATTTTATTAATGTATGACTTTACAGTTTATACTGGCATTTTTCACTGATAAGTAATTTTTAATCTACTAATATAAAATATTAGATATTACAAAATCGTAATAACACAGTTTTAGGATTCATCAATATGGCCAAATATTTTTTTAGGGTGCCATTTTTCGAAACATCTCCTTAAATACCAAAATAAATATAAATATAGGTACTATTTATCAAACAAAATATTAATGTGTTCATAAATGATACAAAATGATTAAATTATTTACATTTTTCTCCCATTTCGTTCTAAAACTAACATAACATTTTCAATTCTAAGAATCTAAATGTCAACACATCTGCGTTCAATCTTCTACCAATAGACATGCTTATGAAACTTTTATAGGACTTTTATTTTTTTCAAAAAGAGTTTGTGAAAGAAAAGCAATATCATCAAAATCTAATATCTTTTCAATTTTTAAAAACTTCCTTAATAATAAGGTATTTTTAAGCTTTAACGTTTTTAATTAAACCTTAAAATTCCTCATTTATATATAGGTATCTATGGTCTCCAAAATATATTGAATTAAAAAATAAGATATTTCCAATATTTATGTTATCTACAACTAATAATGTATCTTTAAGAATAATTTAATTTGTCATAAATCATAATATCCACAACCGATTATACATGTAACTATATATGTAATTGAATATCTATAAGTTTTAGGTACATGTATATAGTATATTTATATTTTATATCTTTATCAGCTATTTTATTTTTACTTTGAAGTAATATATTTGTGCATTAACATATCCAAACAAATTTTGATTAACATTAAAATAAAAGTCAAAATACTACAAATTGTTCTGATTACATTAATAAAAACTCAGATACCAGACAAAATAGCAAAGTTAAATATATGGTAGCCAATAGGCACCTATATGGCATATGCATTTAACTTTGCTGACCTTATAACGAACGTGTTTACTGTTTACAATATTAAACATACAATTATATAACAATGCAACTAGTTGAATTACAATATTGCTTCTTAGAATAATATTTTCATGTAGTGTTCTCAGTGTCGTTTCTATAGTATGATAGATATTATGTTATGAAGGTAAGTACTAAGTACTAACATTCGCAATGACTTATTCCGTCTTAAACATTAAGTTAAATAATACATTATAGTAACAAAGCAGACCAAAATAAAAATTCTAATTTCAAATCGTTTAAATAAAGTTATCGTTTTTATTTTCATAAACATGGTATTTATATCTACCGCAGAATACATACATAGCACGTAGGTTCCTATGCATATTCATATTTTAGTTTCCTAATCACGTAAAATCATATTTTTGTCGCACTCGTGTGTATTTTAAACGTGAAGAAAATCTCGGTGAACAAATTTATCACGGGCCACTGAAGCCCAATGGAACTGCCACGACCATTTGTAGACAATCGGAAAAATGTATTCAAGGTATAGCGCCCACCGTCGACCGGACAAACGACGATAATTATTATTATTATATAATATGACAAGGACAGGGCCACAACCACAGCCGACAGATATGATTGATGTGTTTCCTGTGAGGCGGTCTATGGACGATAATAATTTACACTGTATACATATTACATATATTATAATACCTACCTATATCCAATGTGAGGGATGCGAGGGGTGAGAGACGGTATTCGAAATTCGGTCAAAAATGAGATGAGATTTATGAGCCGCGTGCGTAGGTATTGACAAACATCGGACCGTAACAGAACTTTGCTGTTTATAGACATATTACCATAATATATATGACTACAGTAGAGTAGGTCAGGATTAAAATCTAAAGGTATTATAGGTATTATCTGACACATTTTTCACGTGAATCTACGATGCCGGAATATTATTATGGTTATGGAATACAATGAAATAAAAACCATGACTGCCAACGTGTGTACTTAGGTGAGTACCAATTTTCCAATTATGGTGTTCAAAATAATTTCACCGTTTGTATAAGTGGGTACGAACCGCAAACATTAGAAATGAATACTTAGTGGAGTCGTTAAGACAAACTTCTAACTTTCATGGTTTGCACACTCGCCGAATAGTCAGAATCGATTCTTTCACATGGTGCAGTAGTATTGCAAAAGTTCGTGATATTACCATAATTTGTTATGAAACTCTAAGACCGCGTAATAACACATCCACACACACGGAGTACGTCACTTTCGTGTTATCACCAAGGTCCACGATAAGTTCCCGCTTACGTCACTGTCACCTACACCATTTCACTTCTTACCAAGTGCGTGTGTGCTCGCGTGACAAAATACGATATTATACATTTAGGCGTCATATTATACTTATAATGTGTACACTGTACACCACAACCATCTCCGTTGATTGGAACTCCGGAATAATCAAGGAATAACACATATACAAGTATACAACATATTTTTATTATTATTATTATTATTATTATTATTATTATTATTATTACTCGTATTATGAACGCATGCCATCAGCTCTCCAGCGCGACAGTATAATTCACAGTATTCTTAATGATTTTGTGGTGGAATGGACTATATTTTAATGTAAAATGATCAATAATATCTTTCTAAACTGTTTTCTTATAATATTTATTGGGAGGATTGAATATGCCCAATTATAATAGTTGTTCGATTAAACGCTAACAAAATACTATCAGTTCCTTGTGTTCAAGCAGTTACAATGATTGGTGTCAATCCCTACAATATAACAATATTAATATTGCTTTGCAACTATACTCACTTTATATATTGTGAATCACCAAGCAACATCAACCCCATTTTTTCATTTAGTAATGAATTTATTCAAATTTTTAAATTTCTTTGAAGGCGGTATTTTAAAATTCATGACATTCTTTATATTACTTAAGGAGTGTTCTATACCTATGACCATTGATTTTATAATATAATGATATTATAAAATCAATGCTATGACGGTACAAACTACTGTTTTTCAAATAGAAAATCCGCTTTTGTACTGTAAATTATTGTGGTAAGTTATTAGTGGATAATTTTTTTTATAATTTTGATGTACCTAATTTAAAACTTGAACTAGTGGATTTTTAGTAATAGTTGTGTTTAAATTTAGGATAATACTCCTTAAAAATGGTTTTATA